GTGTGATACGCACACAGACACAGACACACACACACACACACACGTGATACGCGCACACACACACACACGCACACACGCACACACACACACACGCACACACGCACACACACGCACACACGCACACACACACACGCACACACACGCACACACACATTGTGTGTGGCACAGGCACACATGCACACAGAACATGGGCACCCAAACGTGAGTGCTGAATAGTGCTTTTTCGGGTGGCCTTTTTGAACGCATGCCTCAAAATGTTTGTCCCCTGCAGCCCCAAATTGTTTTTGGACCAGCTACGGGGTGCGCAAACCAGTTCCCCTGCCAGTGGGAGGTCCGCGACTATGATCGCCGTTTATACAAGGGCTCCTGTCCACTTTGCTCATGATGAAAAGTTGTCCCAAAAAACTCAAAAACGACTATGTACTTAATACTAGCGAGAGGTGCACACTGCACAGGTGACAGGAATGGCCGCACCTTGTCTTGCCCGCAAAGCTATGGCACTCAATGCTTCTTCCCTTGCGGTTATCAACTTAATATCACTCTGAATCTGAACGACTGCTGTAGCGGACCCACCAGGTATGGTGCTCCGCTAGTGGTAGAGATGGAGATGGAGGAAGAAGGGGGAGCAAGATGACGCACAGCGCAGCTCCCACGCAGGACTCCAACGCACGTACTCCAGAAATGTGCAAGTGAAGAATGAGGGTGAAAACAGACAATGGCTGGGGTATACCCCAGCGGACTGACGGGACTGGACTGGACTGGCTGGTACCGACAGAGGTATCGGCCTGGACTGGCCTACCCCGAATACAACACAGGCCTGTGAGAACAGGCCAAGGGGCTGGTCTCACAGGCCAACCCGAGGTCCGCTACACGATCCTCGGCCTGTGATGGATAGCCTAGATACAAACATGCTTCCGCCAAGAAGCGGAACTCTACCAAAGAAAGAAAACCTGAGTAGTCTAGGATGCGGAGCATGCTCCATGTTGAGTCCATGCGATGCAACCTAGGATATAAAATGTCACAAAACAGCAATGTCACAGCTAACAGCCTAAGTGAAAGCAGAAGCAACTAACTAACATACATGTCCTAGGAAAGCAAAAGCAAGTAACTAGCATACATGTCCTAGGAAAGCAAAAAGTAGTGACAACTAGATCCTAGAATGTTGGAGGCACTAGCCTCAGTTTGGTAACAACTGACTAGTGTATAAGTCCTAAGAACACCAAAAGCAGAACAACTAAGTCCTAGAAATGTCAGAGGCAGTAGCCTCAGTCTGCGAGCAAAAAAGCAACAACAAGTCTATCATATGTCACATGAGAAGTGTATCGCAAACCAAAGGGTGGGATGGTCTCTGAGGGTGGCGAATGCAGCCTAGGGGTCAAAAACTCCTAAGGGCACCCACACATAGATAACAGGGAGACACATGTCATCAGGCTCAAGGAGGGTAGGGAACTGAGAGCGAACAAAACCAATGACCCTAACAGATAGACCATCAGGGCGGGTAATGCTCGACTAAGGGGTGACCGCTATGGAGGGTCGACCATGCAAAGGAACAGGGGAGCCTGGTATACTGGGCGCACCTAGATGAAGCATGCGGGTCTGCCTAACTAGGGCTTGAGGGTCGGCGAAGGGTAGAAAGATGATGGGTGAGGGAATCATGCAAATGACTCCTAAAGTGAGGGAAGTCGGAGCTAGATCCGTATGATGGGAAGCCAGGGCAACGCTACGGTCCCGATGCCTATGCGTATACCAAGGGAGAGCCCAACTCAGAGGAACCCGGCTAAAGGGAGACCATCATGCGACACAAACAGGGTACTGTACAGGGTAGAGTGGTAAGAGAGTGGCGACGTCTGAAGTAGGCAGAGCTGATCGTGATGAAGTCTATGAAGCTGCCGATGACGTCCACGATAACTAAACTCGGATAGGTCGCGCCACCAGCGAGTCTGTCGAGGAGTGAGCTTCGGCTTAGTCAGAAAAGCCTGGACAACAGAGTTGTCCGTGCGCACCGTGAATGGTGCCCCGTGCAAGTAGTGCCGCCAGTGCCGAGCGGCATAAACTACTGCGAGAACCTCACGTTCATCAGCAGTGTAGTTTATCTCGGCAAGCAGGAGCTGACGGGAGTAGAAGGCTATCAGACAATCACCTGAGCGAGACTTGACAGTGTCGTCCTCGGCGATGGTAGGAGAATAGTCGATGGAGGGTTCGTCAGTAGCTGGACGAGTAGGCGTCAGTCGGGAAGCAGTGGTAGGGGTAGGTGGTGGGAAGCGAGGGATACGAGGATGAGAGGAATCAGGAGAGGAGGGGAAGACCTGAGAAAGCACTGCTCCTACAACAAAGTCTGACGCATCGGTGGTAAGGATAAAAGGGCGATCAAAATCGGGTAGGTGAAGCACCGGTGCACATGTCACCGCCTTCTTGAGGGCGCGGAAGGCGTCCTCGTGGAGGGGTGTCCAAGCCCAGGGTGGGTTCTTCCGGAGGAGGGTGGAGGTAAGGACGTAGGAATACCTAGCGTATCCCCGGATGAAGTTACTATAGTAGCTGATCAGGCCTAGGAAGCTGCGAAGCTGCTTGGCGGATGTGGGGGCGGGCCACTCCGCAATAGCAGTGATCTTCACGTCGTCCATTTGGAGACCCTGGTCAGACACGTAGTGTCCTAAGAAATCCACTTTGTGCTGGGCAAAGCAGCACTTGCTCAGATTGGCGTAGAAGCCATGTCTGCGCAAGCGGTCAAGGACGTCGCGGAGGTGTCTGAGGTGCTTCTCAAGGGTACGACTGTAGACCAGGAATTCGTCGAGGTAGACGAGAACGTACTGCTCCAGGATGTCCCTGAAGATGTCGTTCATCGCCCTTTGGAAGGTGGTGGGTGCATTGGTGAGGCCGAATGGCATCACCGTAAACTCGTAGTGGCCGAAGCGCGATCGGAACGCTGTCTTCGGCTGGTCGGCTGCAGCGACGCGGATCTGATGGTAACCACTACGAAGATCAATCTTCGTAAAGAAGCGGTTGCCTGCTAGGCGGTCGAACAACTCATCTGTAGCGGACCCACCAGGTGTGGTGCTCCGCTAGTGACAGAGATGGAGATGGAGGAAGAAGGGGGAGCAAGATGGCACAACGCAGCTCCCCACGCAAGACTCCAACGCACGTACTCCAAAATGTGCAAGTGAGGAATCAATCTGAAAATAGACAATGGTGAGGCCGAATGGCATCACCGTAAACTCGTAGTGGCCGAATTGCGAGCGGAACGCGGTTCTCGGCTGGTCGGTTGCAGCAACGCGGATCTGATGGTAACCGCTACAAAGATCAATCTTCGTAAAGAAGCGGTTGCCTGCTAGGCGGTCAACCAGCTCATCGGAACGAGGCATGGGGTAGCTGTTCTTAACCGTGTAGCGGTTAAGGCCGCGGTAGTCGATGCAGAGACGAAGAGTTCCATCCGCTTTGCGAGCAAAGAGGACGGGTGCACCCCACGGGGAGTTGCTGAGTTTAATGAAACCCAGTCTCAGGAGCTCCTCAAGCTGACGCTTGAGTTCGGTGGCCTCGGGGATCGAGAGTCTGTAGGGTGCCTGGTGGTGAACACGATATTCAGGCACGAGCTGAATGGAGTGTTCGACGTCACGCATCGGTGGGATGCCGGCGTACGAGAACGACGATGGAAAACGTCGTGGGACTCTCGGATGAGGTCACGAACTGCGGGCTCCAAGTCAGCCGTATATCGTGCGAGTTCCTCAGCGTCAGCGTCAGCGCGCGACGGCGGGGTGGACTCGACGGACGGCGGAGGGACGGAAGTAGAGATGGGAGCCATGRAGATAGAGGGRGGATCTGGSTCCAGAGGGATGAGCTCGGCGTCGGGACAGGGTGGATCATAGTGTAAGAGATCCGTSACGTCCACCATAMAGAAGGTGACGTCGTCCTGTCGAATGAAGTGAGCGAACTGCCGAGGCGAGGTGACAGTGATAGAGGGAGATGGTGTGGGCACTGAAGGCTCCGGGGGAGGAGGATCGGGGCGTGGTATCGTCGTGGTACCTATCAAAGGTACGCGATACGTCTGTCCACATTTCGTTTTGAGAACGAGAGTGTTGGTCGCCCAATCGACCTCGGTGCTGCGGAACCGACGACACCACGGAGTGCCGAGTATGAAGTCGTACCCCGTCTCCATCACATCGAAATGTGCAGAGGAGCGGTGGCGACGAGACGCCAGGGAACGCTCAGTCGGTTCGAGAGTGAGGAAGAAGGGGAGGTCGGTGACCGTCTGATCGAAGAAGCGCTGGGTCTTGTCATCCCCTAGGGTAACGGAGATGAGAGTCGAAGACCCTGTCGTGGGTAAGCGGGCTTCCTTCACCACGCGTGGGTGAATGAAGTCGCCCTGAGAACCGGAATCCCACAGCGCTGAGTACACCCTCGTGGAGGTCCCGAGTCGTACGGGGATGATCG